TATTCCCAAATTGTTAATAGTTTGTTCAAATGTTTCATAAAATAGGCAACGAAAAAGTTTCTTTTGAGCCTTCCTTGAGCGGGAGCCTTTGCACCCTCTGGCTCATAGTTTCCCTTCAAATATCAGCCACCATTTCAATTGCCTCATCCTCCATTTTCATAGCTGGTGAGAGTCTTTGCCAACCTACCAATTTATCGTCTCCACCTGAACAACCAAGAGTTCTATTCTTTCCCTGGTGTAACATAAAGAGCTGATAAAAAATTAAGTCAAAATCAACTATTAAGCCCCCGTTTGATGTGGACTAAAATAAGATTTTTAGTAAATTTTGATATAAGTTACTGAAATATGTAGTTAAAAAATTGTGAATCTTATAAAATATGTGATTAAAATTAGCCCCCTTCCGATACCGTTAAAAAATCTAATTAAAAGTTCAGGGAATATATGGTTAAAAAATTGTGAATTAAATTAAATATGTAGTTAAAATTAATTTTTAATTTGAATTGAATTTTAATCAAAATATGTAATTAAATCAAATGGGGGCATAGTTAACATAGTGTAAGAACGACATAAAAATCACTCATCCTACGCGAGGTGGTGTGCTCATAAATAATATAAATATAATTTTTTTGGTGATTTATATTGGATCCAAGGAGCTTGATTATAGTGTTCTTTTATTTATCTTTTTTTAAACAGGCACCACATAGACAGTGTTGTGAGTTGGTCACCGGCGCAAATGAAATGGACGGCGTCGTAAATATCAGAATTAGAGGGTGCAATCGACGGGAATCGGTCACGCCCACATAATTTTTTATTTTTTGGAATTAAACAATTTTCATTTTAGTTGACTTTTTGTGCACAACGTGGCATGCTGTTATAGCTTAGCTAAAAGAAATTAACAGCCACTGGCCAAACCCGTCACGTGTACAATATTCTTGCAAACCATGTGCTCACTTGCTTTTGACCCATTCTAATCGATACTATACTAGAGAAAAAAATTATTTTGCTCAGTCATTTTGGTTTTGATACTATACGATATGAAAGTTTATATAGCTCCTGTTTGGTTGAAATTTAAATCTAAATTTTAATGTAAGTCAAAATTAAAAATTAATTTTAATCACATATTTCATATGACCCATAAGTTTTCAACTGTACATTTTTTCAACTTTTATCAAATCTACTAATGAATGAAATTTTTCCCATTATCTACTGAAAAGAATGAAAATTTTGACCGTTAAAGTCAAAGAAGTGGGTCCCATTGTCTCACAAAAAAATCCAAAATTGCAGCTCTTTTACTGTTCCAACGGCAGAAAATTTCATTTTCATGAGAAACAAACAAGGCCTAAAAATATGATTTTAATTCATACCAAACAGGCCAATAAAATAAAAACTAATAATCAAATAAAATTCTTACTAATCATAAAATACGTAAGGGCTCCAATGTAATTAACATAATAATAGAAAGTCATGGACTTCATGGAATTCTAACTGAACGAATAAGTTACTTAAAAATAAGTTTTACCTATATTTGAGTACAACCAAACATGTTCAACTGATGAAAATCTTAGAATAGTAAGAATCGGACTAGTAGGTTGGCTAGTGAAGTTCAAATCCAAGCAAGAAAAAAATCAGAAATTAAATTAGACCGATATTTTCTTCTCAAAAATTTGAGCTACTTAAAAATATATAGATTATAATTTCAATGGATAAATATAAATATAGTGCATCTACGTTAACCAGATCAAGTCCACCTTTTCGAACTATCAAACATGAAAACGGAGTTTTGTCTTTAGATTTTCTTTAAGGTCCTCGATGTTCGACTAGTTAAAGAATTTGTCTTGACACATTGTACCTAGCTGAAAATTACGAGCAAGAATGACTATAACAATCACCCTAATAGAGAATCATTTGTTGTTTTGACGGATTATGTAACTGAATTTC